AAGTGGCCTGCGCACCACTCCAGTAACATTCCTCCTAGGGTATACCTTGTTGGGTAACAATGGCACCCATAGACTCCTCTACCGCTAAGTTTCATCTAACCAGCAGCCTTTGTAAAGCATCAGGTAACCGTATGCCTTCAGGCACTCCCAAGAGAGATGAATCTGATAATTTTTTTTCCTGAAAAAATTGGAAGCGTCTATCGGAACTGTCCAACTCGTGGGGAGGATTTGTTTTTGTTGGAAATTTCTGCAGTGCTGAGGCAATTGACGACCATTTTAAAAATGCTTTTCAAAATCTGGAGTAAATCATGCTAAGACGCGAGTACTGGGTTCCGTTGTCGAATACTACTATTACAGTTTCTAACTAGTTTCATTCTACCTTTGGTCTATTTGCTGTAAAGTGGCACATTACGTCCTGGTCCATTTGCAGAAATCGGCACGTTACGTCCTGAACAAAGCTCAAACCCGAGATGTATCCAGCTCTAAAACTGGATACATCTCGGGTTTGACCATCACTCTAAAACTTGAGCATTGTTTTAGCCAAATACGAGTCTATTCAATCAGTATAAAACGGGTTGTTAATGTGCTCCGAGACGCCCGATAGAGGCTATTAATGCGATTAGTAAATTCACTATATCCTATTCAGAAACGGTACGGGGAAACTGGTTGCGATAGCCATGCACCAAAAAGGCGAAAGGTGGCGATTGTCTAGGAGAAAGCGCGCCAGACGTCACTGCTAGACGATTTTCGCGAACGATCGCAATGACCCTCAAATAGCCCCCGCTGTTGAATGGTAGTTCTGAGTATCTCACATTACAACAGAGCATTCATACAAGTACAGCAGGTGGATGGGGTCAGTTGGAAGGGGCACGACGTCTGCGGATACAGTATGCCGACCCGACGATCTCCTGCTTGCAGCTGACTATGCACCCTTTTGCATAGACATTGACTCCCCAATGACTGCTCCAGTCGATGCACGTTCGAAGAGAAAATTTCGGAGGCGAAGGTGGTGTAATGTCAAGTGGCACGCTTACCATATACGCAACCCGAGGGTCAATTCCCGGCTCGGCTCCCGCCCAAGCCGATTGATTCTTCTACCTCCAGGGGTGGAAAACTGGTGTCATACTCGTCTGGAAGTATGGTAACAGTGAGTTGTACATCGGCTACCTCCCGCAAGTCATTGTATAGGCCACATCGCATTCAATAAGCCACTACGATTCTGAATGGAAGTAGAATGCGTGCCGCATCCCAAAAGGGATTGATTAACGGCGAAGACTCTGTCTATCCTTTACCCTTTCAAGTTCTAACCGGACTTCTTAATGAGCATAAAATTTGAAGAAACTCGGGCCTCAATTTTGACAAGTTAGGTGGACAGGCCAGACTCCCTGTTAATAATGCAATAAGCATTGAAAGAAACGTTTTTTTCATTTCAGGTTATGCCTGATGGTCAACCTGTGCTTGGCTGTGCACAACCGAGCTGTTTTGGATGGGCTGAAGGTGGACAAATGATAGCAGGGCATTTCTACAGGTGAGCACTTCTCATTCGTTGGATATGCGGGACAAACCCAAGTCAAGACCTTTGAACCTTCAGTTTCGCCCAAAGGCACGGTCCGCATCAGGATATGGAAGCCAGAAAATATGAGTGGGCTCGCGTCGACCAAACATTTGTAGCCTTTCGCGGCACAAAATTGTGAGGGAGGGGCGCTATTGCGCAATAAAAGTTCAGTGACGCCTCCTTCTTTTCCAGTGACTCCGCCTCCAGACTCCGCCTTCAAGGCCCGCCTTTCAGTGAAAAGCGAAGCTGCAGGACGAAAAAGCATGAAAATCGTCACTTGTACGGTCGTAGAGTTTTTATCGGGGAATCTGCTGTGCGGATGAGGGGTACTGCTGGAGATGGAGTTAATTGGGTACGTACAAATTTAAATCGGAAGGGGGCTGGCATGTTTTTTTTTCTGCTTTTTTTTCTTCACTCGAGTCACTCAGCACCCTGCCGTCTATATGCAAACGCCTAATCCACTATATGAGATGGCGAATGATCGCAGGCTTTGCTTTCAAGTAATAGAATTCGGCTGGGAGCTGAACAGTGGCTTTAAGAGGCTGATCTACGGACAACAATGCTTTTAGGTTCCCTGTGAAAAGTGGTGCATGGCGCATCCTGGTGGGCCAAAATTGAGCACAGCTGGTCGAAAATGAACGCTTATAAGTCATTTGCAGGATCAATGGAAGGCGACGGTTTTTTCGAGGAATGAAGACCTGGCATGTGGCCACGTCCCGCATGTCAATTCCACATCAGGCAAATACATTGGTTAGTAGAGATTTTTAAATCCAGTATCACACAAATGGAGATTGTTCCCACAGGGGAAAATCACTTTCACAAGTAAAATTGCAAGTCACGGAGAGCACATAGCATTGTTCAATATGTTGCGCCACGCATAGCAGACAGGGCATGCCATCGCGTTGTGATCATTTCCTGACCTGAAAATGCGACCCTCCCCCTCTCCACGCAACTACTACTTTCCTAGATTCTCCCAACTTACTACCAATTTTTCCATTTTTCCCGAAAAAATTTCCAGTTTTTCAGCCAAGAATTTTCCGTCGGGCGGGGGTGGGAAGAGGTCGTTTAACTATCATTTTCAGCTAGAAGTAGTAGTTGTGTAGATCTTTGGCAGTACCTCTCCCAACAACGACTAAATATTAGATGTCCGGAAACTCCAGCGTTTGTGTTTTATTTTAAACGATCGTAACTTTTTTAATACTCATCGGATTTGATCGAAATAGGCACCATTCGAATCAGCACACTTTTGCCAATGTGATAGCAGTCGAGAATCCCATCAAAGTAAAACTGGTCGAGAGAGTTCACGAAATCCATGAAGGCTTTTTTGCCTGGTCCTGATTGATGAAGTATTTTCAAGCAAGGGAGTTCTGAAAATGTTTGAAAAGGTGATAGTCGATTGGTGAAAGGTCTGAAGAATATGGCGGCTGAGGTAGAACTCCACCCCCAATTCGCTCAGTTTATGGATAGTGATTTGATGAACGCGTGGCGGGCGTTGTCATGCAAAGGAATCGGACCCTTTCTTTTGATAAGTGTTGGCTGCATCTGACAAAATTTTCGCTAACAATTCTTCGATTTTTCAGGTAGGTTCTTGCGTGATATTGGCCTATCCGTGTGATAAAAAGTTATAGTGGATTCACACCAGCCGAAAATTACCTCGGTGGTTCATCGAAATCCAACCACTGTCCGGAACGTCTCCTGTTATCATACATGACCCATTTTTCATCACAGGTGACAATTCGGCCCAAAAACAGGTCGTTTCTGCTGCGCAAAAGCAATGCAGAAGGACGCGAATACTTGCGATCCTGCCGGTCACTCCGATTGTGGGGCACCCAATTGTCGAGTTTTTTCACCTTCCCAATGCGTTCCAGACCATCTGCAACAGTGGATTTGCCAACGCCTAGCTCTTCTGCTATCTCTCGAACTGTTTGGGATGGGTCAGCCTCCAAAATCCCCCTAAAATCCTCGTCAGATATTGCTTTAGGTCGACCGCTATGAGGTTCATCTTCAAGGCTGAAATCTCCAGAACGAAATTTGTTGAGCCATTGCCGCACAGTGCTTTCTCTAGCACTATTGGGCCCCCACACCTGGTTAATTTGTTGAGCTGTTTCGATTGCGGATTGCCCCAATTTATAGTCGAAGAAAAAATCGTCCGAAGTGCTCTTTTCACATGCTTGAAAAAATCTTGAAAAAAGGGGGTTTATCAAGCAATGGTGAAACGGCAATTATACCATCAGATAGCGCAAGAAATTCTCTACAGGATGTGCTACTGAGAAGCAAGGCAGAATGAGTTTTTAATCAGCAGTGAATGTACAAAAAATAGGTGCACAAAACGCTGAGAACTTTCCGGACAACCTAATAACCTCTTCCCTTGCGGTCAAGTACGACCCCCCCCTCCCCGTTGTGATCATCTGGCGTGCCCTGATTGCAGGTGTACAAAGTGGTAGCCACATTTGAATGCGACTCGGCCTACATAAATATTGCCAATCGAATTTGGCACCGGACTGGCTGACTACAAGAAAGGAAAGCCTTAATGGCTTTTGAAATGTCTGGATCCCCTATGTTGGTTGTAGCACCCAACCTTGCGTGACGATTCCACTCGTTGATAAAGTACTTGGCTGGTATCTAGCGGGCATCCTGGAACGTTGTAGGAGTTCATGGTTGGCTGGCCTAGCTGACCTGTTCGCCCACCGATGGAGCTGCTTGTGAATAGTTGCGATAGGTTTTAGGGGCTGCGAGTAAACAACTCGATTTCCGAAAGTGAGGATTCCGCATATCACTACCCATTCCCCTGGTAGCTTTGTGTGCCTTGCGGAATGCCAGTCGGCAGTTTTGTCTTTTCGCTACAGTGACCTTTAGTTTTTGGTGGGAAAAGCTGAAAAGTTCCGGGATCGGTGAACTACTTTACCACTCGGAGAGATGAAATGTACTACGGGAGAGCCTCTATTCCCTCCATCCCCCCATTGAGTGAGGGTGGCACCTTCCAGAGATACAGCCGTGGTGGAGCGCCCCCCCCCCCCCCCACTTAGTTGTGGCGCCGCGTAAGTTCCATATAACTACTATTTCCAATGAAAATGGTAGTTGGTTTCTGACGAGCTCCCCAGCTCCCTCCCCCCCCCCCTCCTCCCTCCGCTTGGCGGAAAACTTTCAGGGAAAAGGTAGCAAATTTACGAGAAAATCCGGAAAAGAACTGCTAAGGTAAGCCGGGCCCGTAGGAAAGTGGTAGGTAGATGTTGGGGAAGTGGGGGGGGGTCGTACTGGCACCACCATTTCACACTCACGATGGTGTACCCTGATTGCAGTCCAAACTGATTGTCGGCGGGCAGCACCGCTGTGCCACGTTGACCGAGCTGTGTCCTGACGGTGCTCTGCGTGCACACACGCTGCCAGTGAGAAGTAACGCTCCACACCACGAGGCGCAGACGGTGATATCGCCGCAGTAAGTGGGGGCGGTGTCAGTAGGGGGCGGAAAGTGGAATGAGCGTGTCTCCGACTGTCTTCCTCGACCAACGGTAATTGGTTGTTGATCGATTCAGGAAGAAAATGATTAGTGGTGGAAATCCCGTGCTTGGGTTCATATCACCCCTTTTGAAGCGGCCTCGCCGAATGCGACGATATCATCTGTAGCTTCCTCAACTATCTGGTTAAACTATTCCAGTAATGCGCTCGTTTTCTTGAAGAATCAGGGAAGTTCCAGTTGAGTCGCACACCCACTGCTACCGCAGTATCGGGGCAGGAACCTCGTGACAGCCGAAAATCTGGTATTGCTGTTAGGTCGATCTTGATGGCAAACACCAGAAGAAATTCTCCCATGTTTCAGGAATGCGAGGAGACTTTCCGGTCAGAAACATGTGTCAGTGACAACCAATGGGTAGGCGGAATTGCTCCGCTAATGAATGTATCGACTGCCCAGTAAGTTTTCTTTTCGCATGATTATAGCCATGACGGATCTTACTTTCCTAGGACCGGATTCGTGACCGCGCGGCAATTAGGCGTTTTGGTGTTCCTATCGGACGCTACCACCGTTTCCCTTCTGTTCAAAGCGTTTTCCGCTGCCGCGAGAGATTCTTCGAGATCCCTTTCAACAGCAGCGCCTTTCGCACGGCGACTCACGTGCTCGCTCGCCAGATGCCTTCGCGCTGTGCTGCTTCGCGTTTTGGAGAAGGCAGTTGCATTGTGTGGTTACTTTGGCAGAAGTATTACTCTCTTCATCATTACGTACTGTCGGGGCGGGTTAGTGCGGCTGCGTTTGGCGCGATCGCCGCGCCCGTGGCACCAATCGTTGAACCAGGAAGTGATATTACAGCATTATATCCTTCGTATTACTCGTTTTCTACCACTTTTTGTCGCATACGCGTTTCAACGAAAAGGCTGAGAACGGCTTCAAACAGTGTGCGCACTCCTACTGGCTGATACGCCCCGACAGTCCGTAATGATGAGGAGAGTAGGTTGGCGGGACAGTTCTGTCACACTACTTGCCCATTGCGCTGCGTGGAATTATTGTTACCAAGGATATTGAGACAATGACCGGCGCTACTCGCCCTTCACTGCCTTAACTATCCGAGAACAGGCCAGCTTTCCCGCTTTTTTTTTCTACCAATTGCAGATTCGGCTCAAAACGAGCCCCCAGGGGTAGTTCGACCTTCTGAAAATGAACTACATACCCCCCCCCCCCCCCCCCCCCCCCCCCCCCCCCCCCCCCCCCCCCCCCCCCCCCCCCCCCCCCCCCCCCCCCCCCCCCCCCCCCCCCCCCCCCCCCCCCCCCCCCCCCCCCCCCCCCCCCCTGCCCGGTGTCTGCATAGCAGGAAACCCGTAGCGCGGATTCTAGGCGATTCCGTGCCAAGTGAGTAGCTGGTTAGAAAGTGTCTGAGGCGTGAGAACACATCTACACTTCATGCCCCGTCCCAGATAACTCCGCCCCTTTTTGTCGCGACACATTCTTTATGTGTTTAGACACATTTTACATTATATATAGTTGTTACAGCAGTTTTTTTTACACTTTTTATCTCTGTTGACAGATAGACCCTTGACAACACTATAACATAGCAAACTTGACTCCGCCCCCGACGAGTCGCCCACTTATTAATGGTTAATGGAAATTTCGCCTCTTTATAACTGTATTAGTAGCAATCAAAATACCATACAAAATATTATTAAAATCTTATTATTTATACCGCGACATGCGAATTTAGTGACACTTAGACAGATATGATTTACAACAATCCTACAGTAAGCAGCAAGAGCCAGTATGTTTTCAGTCTTCGCTTCTTGCCCTCACAACCCTCAACTTTCTCTCCGAACTTTGTAGGATACGAGAGTTGTACAACAGCATACAGCAGAAAAGTTGGTTCCCGCATGTCGAACCCAGACCAGAAGAGCCGATAGGGGAATTTCACTACACGTCTGCTGTGTAGTTGGTGAAATCTAAGGGACGCTCCGCTATAATAGCTGCCGTTAGACGCACCCTCATTGTTCAAATTTGTTCTTCGCAACCTCATAGATTGACTGACGCTTTTGTCTGAGGCGTGAGAACACTTACCCTGTCGGTCTTCATCAAGACAATGCCTCACCTCGAGTCCTACTTGCCGGAGAATTTCCCAACAAGATTGAGACGTTCTACCACATCCTCCCTATTCTCTTGACCTGGTTCTGTCCATCACCATTTTCTTTCGGGCACTGAAGCTTCATGTACAAGAGAAAAATCTGATGATCAGAAAGAGCCAGAAGTGTAATTTTGCGCTTCTTGAACTCGCCCCTGTTGGACTTTTGGGATTCTGAGCTTGATAACCTAGCAGAGACAATGAGCACATCACAACGGTCATTATTTTGTCCTAGTATAGCCCCCTAATTATCAGCGACCAAGTCTCATTCTACTCCATTAGTATCTGTTAATGCTTGACTAGATGGATACATAGGGAATGGTCCTGAACTGTAATGATGCTTCAGCTCTTATTATTTTCACCTAAAGGTCAGATCACTTCAGGACATTCCTGCAATGCTGTACATTTGAACCACTGCGACTGTCAGAGGATCGAGGCTTGGCTGTCGTGAAATCTGGACAAATCGTCATTGGAGGAGAGGTAAATCATATGTGATTTCTTTCCCATTGCCAGCCAGCGCATGCTTTGATTCGAGGGAATCGGCAAAGAGAGGTGTTACACCTGAGCTGCTTTGGCGCCGAGATTGTATAGGTTGGAAAGAAAGTCCTGTCAGTGTTTTTTAGATAGCCTACAGTTTTTGATCTTCGAAGCTCGAACATGACGTAACATGCTAAGGTTGTAGAACATTCTCGAAGCTTTTCCACAAGAGGTATATCAAGGCTCCTGCTCTTCCCTGTGTTTATTTATGATGTCAGTTTCACTGGAGCAGCTTCGAGTGATCATCTTCTATGAGTGGCGCCGCGGCACTGGAGCGACGGCAGCGGCCCGTAACATCAACTGTGCATTGGGGAGGACACCACCACCGTCAGGACTGTCCACCGTTGGTTCGCTCGCTTCGCGAAAGGAGAGACGATCTTCGAAGACAAACCTCGTCTGGGACGCCCTCGCGGCGTAGAAGATTCCGCCGTTCTCGAACCTGTCAGAGAGGATCCAGAGGCTACCACGCGCAGTATTGCGACAAGGCTAGGGTGTAGCCATACAACAGCTCTAAGCCGCCTTCAGGCCCTTGGCTACAGAAAAGTCCTCACGCGATGGATACCTCATGCTCTAACAGATGGCACGCGGTATGCCAGGGTGAGCATCTGTCGATCCTTCTACACCGTAACCGGAAGGAGTTTCTGGAAGATATTGTGACTGGAGATGAAAGCTGGGTCCTCTATGATTCCAACCTACGTCGTGCCATGTGGCTCCCTCGAGGAGAAGACCCGCCTACGCAACCCAGATCGAACCTGCACTCCAAGAAGGTCCTCCTCTGCTGCTTCTGGGATTCGAAGGGCATGCTGCACCACGAGCTGCTTCCGCAAGGGCATACGGTTACCGCTACCGTTTACGCCGCCCAACTCCAGAAACTCGCGCAAGCTCTTCGAGAAAAGCGGCCGAGACGAGCTTCGGTGCACCTCCTCCATGATAACGCCAGACCACATGTGGCTAAAGAGACCCACCGCCAAATTGAGGAGCTAGGCTGGGAGACCGTTCCCCATCCACCATATTCTCCAGACCTAGCCCCCTCCGACTACTACTTGTTCCGCTCCCTCAAGGCTTTCCTAGGTAAGAAAACCTTCAGCGAATTTGATGGCATCAATCGAGAAGTTGCCTACTTCTTCGACTCGCAGCCTCCTCAGTTCTGGGAGAAGGGGATAGCTGAGTTGCCCATTAGGTGGAGCACTGTAGTGGCTAACAATGGCGATTATATTATTGATTAGTTTTTATTTCATGTTGAGTTAGAAAATAAAAAAGAAAAAATCACAACAGTGACAGGACTTTCTTTCCAACCTATACAATAAATCGATCCTGCAAACGATAGGGTTTAATGGAGGCATGGCTTGGAGTCTAGTTAGATCAGATTTCGCACTAGCTGAGCGAGCTTGGAATGGCATAATTGGTGGAAAAAGCGCGCCCTGGCTCCGCCTTACGCTTGCAAGGATCATGACTATATTTGGTTTCCTAAAAAGATCTGCTGTATTGGATGTAGAAGGGAAAACACAGATTCTCATACTTTGTATAATATAGTCCGGCTATCGGTCGACTTGTGAGAAATTGGGGAAGGGGGGGGGGGGATCGATGAAGTTGGACCTCAAGATGGTTTGAGCATTGAGCACAGCATTGAGCAAGATCGTGCATGCTGTCCTATTTTCCTCATCATACCAACGTGTTCTTTCATTGCAGCATCAGGATGAGAAAGCGCAGTTAATATCGTAGCAACCAGTCCGGGCGGGGTCTTGGTGCGTATAAAAAGCCCACCTACGGTGTTTTCACCGCTGGTTTCCTTCCTAGATCGTCCACTAAGCAATTAGCATTTGTAGGTAGTGCAACGCAGAGACACACTCGTCCCCCCCCCCTGCACGCCCGATTGATTGCAAAGAAATGAACAGCTCCCAACGTCTCAAAAACGAATGGTGCTCACAAGGTCATCGAAATTTTTAACTCTCGAGCTCACGCGAGTTTCAATTTGGCATAATATTGGCACTAACCGCGCTGGCAGTGGTAGCTAGGGCAGGCCGTAAGCTGTGGAATCCCCAGAGAGGTCGTATATGGTCGCCTGAAGAAAGGGGTCGTGTATCTCTTCAGGAAGTTTTCTCGTCAGCGAAAATTTTTTCTGAGTTTTGCTGACTTCTAGCGGTTGATTTAAATGAGTAAATGTATGGTAGCGACCCCCACGCCCGCGCACACCTGCCGCTCATCGGCAAAGGTTCGGGGAACGAGGAAATTTTCGAGAGAAATTATAGGTAATTGGGGGAAATTATTAAAGGCAGCGCCCGCGTTCATTTTGTTGTTCCCACGCCCTCTTGGATATCGTAGCTCACCCTATGAGGATGGTGGACGTACTAGTTTCGCAACTCAAAAATGCGAGAGAATAGCGGCGCCCGCTCGTGAAGAGTCGGCCACCCCGCCCACCTGGCGACCACTACGCCCAACTTCATTTCTAATGGTTGCCTGATGGTGCGGTTGTTCCATTGCTGCTTCTCTCCACGTCGAGTGGTGAGAGTGAGGTGATAAGGGAAAACAGCTGATATCAACAAGTGAGAACTCGTGCGGCCGCGCCTTCTCTTCGCCTTAAGCACGTACAACCTCAGCTCGGCGTGGGGTCCTATATAGGGCATATCCGATGATTTTTTTGCATTTTTCTTCACTAATGAACTACTAGC